GAGAAATCACCACCCAGGAGGGATGGCCACACCGCAATCCCTTCTCCTCCATTCACCTCTCGGGATCTTGGGCATGCATGCACGCACACGCGCCCAGCGTGATTTTTAAGCCACTGGGTCCAGGATGCGAACCCTGGTCGACTACATGGGGATCCAGAGATGTAGCCATTATGCTAACTGCTGGTCCCAAGTTCAATCAACTTTCATTTAGCACCAATTACATTCCAGCCACTAGCTAATGCATATAAAATGTCTTCACAAACTGTTAACCACCATACAAACCAGAAATAAGGCACTCTTTACAGATAGTACAGCTAATTTCTGAATATGTATAAGAACCAGCTTCCACTTATAAGACAGGCCCCTCCGGAACAAGATTCATTGCAAATGAGGAGTCGCTGCTAGATTTCAACAATACAGAATCACCTTATGGTCTTTTCTTTTAAAGAATAAAATCTTTTAAAAACATTTTGTAAAAGAATTGTTTATTTCATTTTATTAATTATTATTTTAAAATTTGCTATAGGCCATTCGAGGATGCAACCCCGGGGCGACTACATGGGGATCCAGAGATGTAGCCATTATGCTAACTGCTGGTCCCAAGTTCAATCAACTTTCATTTAGCACCAATTACATTCCAGCCACTAGCTAATGCATATAAAATGTCTTCACAAACTGTTAACCACCATACAAACCAGAAATAAGGCACTCTTTACAGATAGTACAGCTAATTTCTGAATATGTATAAGAACCAGCTTCCACTTATAAGACAGGCCCCTCCGGAACAAGATTCATTGCAAATGAGGAGTCGCTGCTAGATTTCAACAATACAGAATCACCTTATGGTCTTTTCTTTTAAAGAATAAAATCTTTTAAAAACATTTTGTAAAAGAATTGTTTATTTCATTTTATTAATTATTATTTTAAAATTTGCTATAGGCCATGTGTGCTCACGAGAGGAGAGAGAGAGCGAGCTGCCAAGTCTGGGACTCAAAACCGTGGTCAGCCATGTGGGAGTCTAACACCTTACCTGCCATGCCACCTGCTGGCTCTCACATTATAGTCTTTAAAAGCATACAAATAACAACTCTTTCTAAATTTTCCAGAAAGCTAGAAAGTGGTGTGAAGACAGTTCAAGACCTGGGATAGATTGCTAAGTATTATAAGACGTGTGTGTGTGTGTGGGTGTGTGTGTGTAGATAGAGAGGAAGACAGGACACAGATGCCATTGCATGAGTACTCACGGAGCCTGGGGCCTTTCTCTAGGGTGCTATTACATCACCTTAGTTCTCTGACTCCTTGCTGTGAGCTCTGGGCTGGCGGATGCTTACAGATGCCATGAGTGTTTGGGTGGTCCCTGAAGCGTCGTCAGCCCTGCGGCTCACCACCTCTCGCACAGTCCTCCAGGGGAAACGATGCTGTGCGTGTGCCCTCATGCCCTGGGAGTGCACTGCCGGGTTACCAGGTGAGACGGTTTCAGCTGAGAGTCCTGCACCCAGCTGACCTGGCCGCGGGATATGAACTCCTCCTTGGGCTGCAGGAATTGGGCCATAGTATATCCTAAGGGTCCCGTGAGGCTGTGGCTATTTCAAAATCACCTTCCAGAGCAAGCAAAGCTGCAGATAAAGAGCCGTCCCTCCTCACACGTGGTCCTGGAGTCTCAAAGGCCTCCCTGCCCTTGGGCTACTGCACCATTGCTCTGCCTTCACCTCCTCTTTGAGGGCCTGTGGGGTTTGGAGGAGGGTAGGAGGGGCTGCCGGGGAGCAGGGAGGGTGCTGGGTCTGAGCAGGTGATGCTTCTCCTCGGGGAGACCCTGAAGCTGCTCGGCCTGCCTCGGATCCCAGCCACGCTGCGTAGTGCACGGGGGTCTGTGTGGCCTCTCCGAGCCTTGGCCTCCCACCTGTGAAAGTGGGCTAACAACCGAGGTCACCCAGGCAGGGTGCTCCCAGCAGCACCTGGTGCACACAGAGAAGCTGCTCAGTAAATAGGACCCGGGACCAGCTTCAGAGAGAGGAAGGAAGAGGGTATGGAAGCTAGACGGAGGGCTGGAGCATCTTGCTGTCTCTCTTCTTTGAGCCATCTTTTGGGTTGAATGTTTGGCTGGACTATTTTGGAGGTTTTGACTGTCAGAGGGCCTGTGGGACTTCGGCGGGGCTGTGGGGTAGCCAGTGGGGTAGCCTGGAGCCTGAGCAGAGGGTGAGGTGGGTCATAGGCTCCCAGGGCCAGGACGCAATGCCCACCAGGTGGACACGGCTTCGTGGCGGGCGCTGCCATTTCCTACTTCCTCCTTGCCTCCCCGAGCCCCGTGTCCAATCTGTTAGGTGGGGATGACGTGACCCCATGTCGTTCTGAAGACTGGGGAGACTGGGCATAAACACTTCATGTAGTTATTTAAACTAGGTTTTTCCCCTCCCTCGGCTGTGCGTGAATTCTCCAGAGAGAGGAAAAGAGGGAGAGAGGGCACCTCAGCAGCGCATAGTCAGGCCACAGGCCTTTTCCTCTACTTCTCTGCTCACCAGAATTTTGGGCATGCACACGCGTGCCTGGCACTTGGGGCTGCTATCTGAACTGTGGCCAGCCATGTGGCTCTGGGCCCTAATGTATAGTGCCTAACCGTGTGCACACGGCTGGCCCCGGACCCTGGCATTTCTCACTGAGAGATGTTGGTCATATGGGCCAGAGAGAGGGCAAGCTCAGGACTGCAGCCCTGCCAGAGGGGGAGCTAGAGGCCCTGGGGCCCTGAGCTCAGTCGGGACACTCACTGTCAGGGGCCCCACACGGAGGGCTGGCGGTTTTGGCCCACTGGTCACTGCAGGCCTGCTAGGGTGCTGCTGGAGGAGGGAGAGGGCGCCAAGAAGGACCTGAGAGGTGCGGATGAAGGAGACCCAGCTGCTTCTGCAGGGCAGGGAGGGACGCGGCATCACTTCAGGCCATCAGGACTTGCACAGAGTGCAGGTGCCAGCTGGGGCATGGACGGTGCCCTCCCCGGCATCTGCTATGACGCAGAGCTGTAAAGGGGAAAGTGGGGCCCCTCAGCCCCCGTGAGTGAAGCTCCCCTCCCCAGCCAGCCCGGGGGCAGGGGAGGATGGGGAAGTGGAAGTTGGAGTGTACTTCCTCCTGCCTGCGGCTCTCTCAGTGCCCCTTGCTCCCCATGCCCTGGACTCCTGGGGTAAAGCCCAGAGCAGACCCCGCAGGACTGAGGCCTTCCCACCTCAGCCTGAAGCTGTCTGGTGGGGGGGGAGGGGAGTATGGTCCTGTGGGGGACAGAGGTGGGGGGTGGGTGGAGATACGAGGACCTTCAGACTGAAATGCAAAGTCTTCCTTTAGAATTGTGCTGCCTGCAGGGCCAGCAGGTGGCATGGTGATAAAGGGTGTTGGCCTCCCACACGGCCAACTGAGGTTCAAGTCCTGGACCTGGTGGCTTGTTTTCTCGCTTCCTCTCTCGCTCTCTCTGTCCCTCTCTGGTCAAATTAAAATGAATACATCCATCCATAAATAAATTTAAAAAAATACAGTTAAATAAAATAATTCTAAAACAATAAAATAACCGTGCTTCTTGCCTGGCAAGTTCAGTTCCAAGTTTCTCTCAAATCTCTTTCTCTTTTTCTTTGTATAGACTTGACTTGTTTTTGACCCTCCAAACTCCAATCTTGGGGTTGGTTGCAAACCTGCCCCAATTTGGGGCTGTTGGAAGATTTGGGGGTGAGCTGTCTTGATCCAGTGTTGACCTGGTCTGGTTTGAAACCAGCTGCTCTGGCCCCCAAGGTGTGACCTGACCTGCAGCCCTCTTCTTGCTGCCCTAGAAGGCTGAGCTGGCTGGGCACCCCAGCCTGCCCTGTGTGGAAGCCCCTACTCCATGCTCTCACCCACACCCCCTTTCTGGTCCTTCGAGCCACCTAGCTGCTGCCTCCTTCCTCCACCTGGGCCTCTCCTGCCCTCAGCTCACGCACAGCTCTGAAAGGAAAGGGCCAGGTGGCTGCCCCTTGGCCTTTGTACCCATAGCCCTGTCTCTGGTTCTGAGATCGAGCTCTGCTCCTGGACCTGGCATAGGGTCCTCTGGGGCTCGCCCAGATCTCCCCCAGCCTCCCCACCTCCAGGGGTCTTGGGAAGAGGCAGAGAGAGCCCAGTTGCCATCCAGAAGGAGGCAAGGCGACCTCACGGTCCCTCTTCTCAGTCCCACCTCTGAGAGTGCCGGCCTCCTCCTTGAGGAGCCAAGGTGGGGCCTCCCTGTTGGGAACCCCCGGGGGCTATTGAAAGAAGGGGCGCAGCTCAATGGCAGGTACTGTGGAGGTGTGGTGCTATCTGGGTGTCGCTGCTACTTCAGGGGATCCCGGGTTCTGCACCCTGGAGCAGGAACCTCACAGCGTGCAGGCTGCCCTCTGCACGGTGACCTTTCCGTCCTCGCGGGAGCTGGATGACTTCTGAAATGTCAAGAACTTTAATTCTCATTTGGTAACGTCCCGTGAGGTGACTTACAGCCGGCTTGGCAGTGGAAAGTTCAAACGTTTCTGAGTGGTTTGAATCATATTAAAAAAGGATCCTAAAACGAAATGAAAAATGCCCCAGAAAACCCAGACTTTCACAGATCCCCAAACGCAGTTGTGCTTCTTCTTCCTTGGGAAAGCGACTGGTCTCAAGTCCTGGTTAGGGAGACGCCCAAGGCCATGGCTCAGGAGCTCTGGCTATGTGGGAGCTGGTGGCAGTGGTCGTTTTGGGCCTAAACGGCTCAGGGCAGCCACTGCTCCCTGCAGGCTGCTGGCCACTCGCCTGCAGCCGCAGTTGCTGCTGTCCCTCCACGCCCCCTCCCACGGCTGGCCACGGAGGCGTCCCGCTCAGGCGCTCTCTGACCCGCTGCTGGTTAGTAATCGGGGCTGGTGGGGGGAACAGCAGGTGCGTGGTAGCTAGGCGGCTGGATTCCCACATGGCCGACCATAGTGTGAGTCCTGGACCTGCAGCGTGACAATCACAGTAAATAAACAGATAAATAAATAAATCAGTAAACATGTTAAAGTAATCAGGGAGACCGCTGCGTCTGAGAGATCAGGACAGAATGGCGGTGTGGACGCGCCTGGGGCATGGATGCTTGCTCTGCAGCTTCTTACACAAGTGGGTGTACTTGTCCGGTGGTCATTTCTTTGGCCCCCAAATGAGTAGACGTACCTTGAACCTTGCGGGGCTGTCAGGAAGATGAAAAGAAATGGTGTCTGAGGTCTGCGGGTGGCTGGGCAGCGGCTGTGGGCCCGGCTGACGCCGCCCTTCTGAGCCGGACAGACTCGTTTCCTCTCTCCCCACAACCTGACGGGTAGGAATTATCATCTCCGCTTAGAAAAACTTTCTAAACCCAGTTTGATCAAGATAAACCCACATACCGTACGAGCCATGCTTCTTGGTATGCTGTATTGTTAATACGCCTGAACGGTCTCCCAGCGCTGTCAGGCTGACCCAGGCATCAGATGTGCGCAGGAATCGCGAGGGTGGGGCTGGGACCTTAGGCGGTGGGCTGGGTAAAAGACAGAAAATGACATAATGAGAGGGCTATAGGACTTCACCCCAAAGCAGTGATTTGTCCAGGTGCGGCTGGATGCCAGGGAGCGGGACGGGGACGCTGACAGCCAGCCTGGAAGGAGGATGGGAGGCGTGCAGGCCGACAGACCAGAACGGACAGACAGACCGCGGGTGTGTGGGTGGGGAGGGCAGTGGGTGAGACCTTGAGCTAGATCCTGCCAGGAGTTTGGGCGGATGCGCAAATGAGCTTGGGAAAGGCTGCCCAGGGCTCACGTGACAGGGGGCGTGGCAGCGTGGTGGGCGGGGCCGTGGGGAAAGGGGTGGTCGTCCTGAGCCCCGCCTCATGTGGGTCCACCCTTTCTTGGAGCTTTGGCTGGGTGCTAGGCCCGGAAGAGGAACCTGCTGCAGGCTGGGAGCTGGCAGACAGGACAACCTGTTTTCTGACCCAGCCCGGAAGTGCTGGTGCAGGTGTCTTTGAGCGAGGGTTCCTCTTTGCTCTGATGTTTGGAAGGGGAATTCAGCAAGGCCTCCTGTCTGGAGCTCTGGCCTTAACTTCCTGCCCCGCCTCATGTGGGTCCACCCTTTCTTGGAGCTTTGGCTGGGTGCTAGGCCCGGAAGAGGAACCTGCTGCAGGCTGGGAGCTGGCAGACAGGACAACCTGTTTTCTGACCCAGCCCGGAAGTGCTGGTGCAGGTGTCTTTGAGCGAGGGTTCCTCTTTGCTCTGATGTTTGGAAGGGGAATTCAGCAAGGACTCCAGTCTGGAGCTCTGGCCTTAACTTCCTCAATTCGGTCGCTCTGAGGGCTGCAGGCTCTGGTCCTGGGGCGGGGGAGGGGGGGGATGGGGGGGGCGCACACAGTCCCCAGGTCCCTTGCCCCTGCAGTTCACTCCGGGCCTGGCTGTGTCCTGTCAACATGTGGTCACATCCCCTCTCCCAGCCTTTCCCTCCTCTGTACCCTCATGCTCATGGGGCAGGGGCAGAGGCCCTCTGTGCCCTGCCTGGTGACACAGGCCATGTCCTGGCACTGGGTCCTGACGTGGGTTGGCCATGGCCCTGCTCTGGTAGTGAATTGCCGGGTCTCTGCACCTGTTCTCCTGGTGCGCTCCTGATAGCAAGACCCTGGCACCGGCAGGCCCTTAGTGAGGGATCAGTACATGTTTATGGTGCACAGCAGTGAGCAGGGCACTGGTTCCTTATCTGTGCAGGCATTTGAGAACGCCCTCCCCCCTGCGTAGCTACCTCCCCCAACCTGAGCCATGGCTGTGTCGCCCTGGGGGTGCTTCTCCCCTGCAGGAAGAGGTGCTTCCTCCCTGCTGGGCCTCAGCTGCTCCTCTCGCTTAGGCCCTATGCTACAGGGTGCCCCCACTTCAGGTGGTCCTCTGGTCCCCAGGGCTCCCATCCCAGGCTGGGTGAAGGCGAGGGCATTCCCTGGTGAGGAAGGAGCAGGTTTTTCCCTTCCGTGGCTGTGATCCCTGACCCTGGGAGCTTGGCCATTTCCCCGGGTTTCTGGCTGATGCACCTGCTCCCTGGCTCAGACTTGGGCCCTGTGTGCTGCGTTGGACTGGGCAGCACCTTTGCTCTTCTGACTTCTTTGCCATTGCTGGGAAATGGACTCAGTGTGGTCAAAGAGGGGACAGGGATCTGTCCTGGCCCTGTGGTGTGTTGTCCATGGAGCCTTGGATCCGGGTTCTGCGGCCTGCTTCTCCCAGACATCCTGAGCTGCACATGGTCGCCTTCCCCGAGGACTGCAGTTCTTCAAGGGCAGCATCTGTACTTAGAGTGTTTGTACTCAGCGCCCAGCACAGAGCTGCTATGCTGGACGCTCAGATGATGTGGCAGTGGCAGGCCTCCTCCCTCTCTCCACCCGAGTGCTGGTGATAACTGGGCTCCTGTCTTGCCCCCTCAAGAACCCCTGGGTGCACCCTCTACTTGAAGAGCTATGGAAGAGCTATGGAATTCCTTGGATGTTTCCCAGGAGCCTCTTCTGTCGTCTCTCTCCGTCCTGGCCTCCCAGGTACAGAGGGGCACCCCAGCTGTGACTGGGGCACAGAGGAACAGCAGTTCCCAGAATAGTCCTCGGCCTCAAGAATCCACAGCTCAGGAATCTGCTCCCACCTCCCCCAGGCATCCCTGTCCCTACTGGAGCTGACCTCCCTGGGACCCTCTTCTTCATTGCCATGGCTCCTGGGAACCCTTCCTTCCTCTTCCCTTTCCCTCCCTGAGGTGGGGGCCCCTGGGGCAGTGCTGTGCTTCCTGCTCGGCTCTCTCCCACCTCCGGCAGGGTCAGCACACGCTCCTGTGCCCGCTGGGCAGTCGCACCAGGTGCGGCTGGAGACACCTGAGTCATAGCTACCTCCAGAGCTGCTGCTTTGTGACTTGCAGTCCTGCCTTCGAGGGAAAGGCGGTGAGCAGGCTCTCCTCTGCCCGTCTCATACTTACAGGGCAGTAAGGGGCAGGGCCAGGGTGTTATTCGATGAGGTCGCCCAAGGTCTGCCCAAGGGAGCTTCGTGAAAAATGTCCGGTTTTCCCACCGTCACAGAACAAAGCAAACCGTAACTGTCTATACCGCGGCCCGCTATTTCACGCGCTGCTTTGGCATTTTGTCTCGGGCAAAGCACTTGCTTCTGGGGGAGGAGTGAGAACGGGCTTTGGGGGTGGTGCTGCTGAAAGCCTGTTCTAGCGATCTGTGCGAAATTGTCCACTCACCCTTTCCCCACCTCCTCTACTTCCCCGAATGCCG